TACAATGAAAAATGAAGGGGACTGTATGGTTGAAGGACAGGGTTGGTTGATTTTTTTCTAAAGATAGACTTAAATATGATAACATCCTAAAAGGAAAGAGAAAAAAGGGAGAGGTTTATGGAGTAAAACCTCAGATCCATAGCGTTAGCTTTTATAATACAAACTGTTGATCTTTATAGGCCCAACTGAATCCAAGGCTTTTCTTCATTCACTCAACAAGAAGTTTTTATTTCTTCCCTAATTTCTTGTAGCAGCTCATGTATCTCATGATAGAAGTATGATACTTACCACATACTCTCTTCAATGATGAGAAATGTAGTTGAGCCCTTTGTCTTAGTTTGATTCCTTGCTTTACTAGTCACTGTGTGACTTTCCACAGATTACTGATCCTTTAAGTACTCGTCTTTTTATCTGTAACGTGATGATAATAGTAGTAGATTCTTATGAGGATTAATATTTGTAAAGCTCTAAAAACAGGCATTTTCTTCCTACTAAATTGTAACGTCCTTAAGAGTAAGAACTTAGTCTTTTTTTTTTAAGATTTTATTTATTCATTCATTCATGAGAGACAGAGAGAGAGAGGCAGAGACACAGGCAGAGGGAGAAGCAGGCTCCATGCAGGGAGCCCAATTTGGGACTGGATCCCGGGACCCCAGGACCATGCCCTGGGCCGAAGGCAGGTGCCAAACCACTGAGCCACCCAGGGATCCCCAAGAACTTAGTCTTTATATTACTTAGTATACCCAGCATAATTCATATATATAATAGTACAGAATTTTATTTTTGAAGGAATTTGGAGGAATGATAGAATATACTCTTGCTTTTGCAGGTTAGCTACTGAGTATAAGAATCCAATTGAGGATCATTGTCACACATATTTTCTTCCCTATAGTGATACTCAGATCTCAGTGTAGGACCAAATGCCAGACAGCTGCAGGGTACTGAATCTTGATAATTTTAGCCAAGAAGACTTGGGTGGGGATGTGGGATAGGAAAAATGAGAGAACTACAAGTCAAAGTGGGAGGATGTAGTCAGCAGGCAATAAAACTCTCTGTTGTGAAAGTTAGCATATTATTTAGGCCAAAAAAGCTCTTAATGGGAGTTATAAATATCCCCTGGAGCAGTCAAGACTGGCTAGTCACCATCCAAGTAGTGTCCTTGGCCTTGAGGAACACCAAACCGAGATAGCTTCCATGACTAGAGTTTTAGTGAGTGGGAAGAAGTAGGGTAAACAGGGTAATTTGGGTGATTGGGAAAGGATATGCCTCAACTGGCTGAGGGACTAAGGAAGAAACAAAAATAGATTACATTTTTACTCTCAGGAAGCTCACTGCCCATTGCCTTATTTTGCCTTTCCTTCTAAATTTTTTATTATTGGTCTTGGGGAATTCCTGAACTACAAGGGGAATCTCTCAAACAGGGATGACAAATACTGGTTTCATCCCATATGCCTCCTGATGTGTGTACTGAGAAGAAATTTAATGGGAAAGAATGCCTTGATCAGTTAGTAGTGCCTCCCTTACTTGAGAGGATTGATAGAACCCATTCCCTGCAGTGCCTCTTATGCTTAAGACTGAACGAAAGACGAATAGATTATCTAGTAATATTATATAATTGATGTTGTGATGTTTATATAGAAAAATACTTACAACTTTGATATTTTTTGATTGACGGCCTTTCAGTTTCATAATTCAAATAACCTCTGGTTCCATCTATCCATTTAGCTTCACTTTTTTTAATTGAGAGTTTTTTGCAGTGCCTTCATTGCAACCCTATTTCATCCTTTAAATGGGTTTAATACTCAGTGCCGGGGATCCCTGGGTGGCTCAGTGGTTTAGCGCCTGCCTTTGGCCCAGGGCGCGATCCTGGAGTCCCGGGATCGAGTCCTGCATCGGGCTCCCGAAATGGAGCCTGCTTCTCCCTCCTCCTGTGTCTCTGCCCCCGCCCCCTCTCTTCTCTCTCTATCATAAATAAATAAATAAATCTTTAAAAAAATACTCAGTGCCTTAGCTTCTCTTTCATGTACACCTAGTTTCTTATGTTTACTTCTTTTTTCTCTTAATAGACTTTATTTTTTAGAGCAATTATAGCTTCATAGCAAAATGGAAAGGAAGGTACAGAGATTTCCCACATACCCCTTAACCCCATCCATTTATAGTTTCTCCCGTTATCAGCACCCTCCACCACATTGTACATTTGTTTCCACTAATGGGCCTATATTAACACATCATTATCACCCAAAACCCATAGTTTACATTAGGGTTTGCTCTAAGCTTTATATATATCCTGTGGCTTTGGACAAATATATAATGATTTGTATCCACCATTACAGTATCATACAGAGTAGTTTTAGTACTAAAAATCCTATGTGCTCCACTTATTCATCTCCCACCCTCTATAACCCCTGATCTTTTTACTATCTCCATAGTTTATCTTTCCCAGAATATCTTATAGTTGGAATTATACAGTATTTGGCCTTTTCAGGGTGGCATATTTCACTTAGTAATATGCATTTAAGTTTCTTCCATGTCTTTTCCTAGCTTGATGGTGGCTCATTTCTTATTCTTTTTTTTTTTTAAGATTTTATTTATTCATAAGAGACCTAGAGAGAGAGAGGCAGAGCAGGCAGAGGGAGAAGCAGGCTCCACGCAGGGAGCCTGATGTGGGACTGATCCTGGGTCTCCAGGATCACGCCCTGAGCTGAAGGCAGGTGCTAAACCACTGAGCCATCCAGGGATCCCCTCTTATTGGCTCTTAATAGTATTCTAGTCTCTGAATTTACTGAATTTATTTAACCATTCACCTACCGAAGGACATCTTGGCTGCTTCTAAGTTTTGGCAGATAGTAATAGAGCTGCAATAAACATCCATGAGCAGGATTTTGTGTAGATGTAAGTTTTCGGCTCCTTTGGGTGAATACTGAGGAGTAAGTTCTGGATTGTATACTAAGAGTATATTTAGTTTTTAAAGAAATCACCAAACTGTATTTCAAAGTGATTGTACCATTTTGCCTTCCCATCAGCAATGAATTAGAGTTCTCTTACTCCAAATGCTCACCACCATGTGGTGTTGTCAGTGTTCTGGATTTTAGCTATTCTAATAAGTATATAATGGTATCTGATTGTTGTTTTAATTTGCATTTTGCCAATGGCAGATGATTTAGAGCATCTTTTTATATGTTTATTTGCCATCTTTATATCTTCTTTGATGAGGTGTCTGTTATGGTTTTTGATTCATTTTTATTGAGTGGCTTTCTTACTGAATTTTAACAGTTATTTAATATTTTGGATAATAGTCTTTTACAAATATTTTCTCCTAATTTGTGGTTTTTCTTTTTCTCTTGACAATATCGTTCACAAAGCAGAAATTATTAAGTTAATGAAACCTGGCTTATCAATTTTTTCTTTCATGGATTGTGTTTTTGGTGTCCTATGCAAAAGGTCATTTAAGTTTTCTCCTATGTTATCTTGTAGAAGTTTTATAGTTCTGTGTTTTGTATTTGGTCTATGATCCATTTTGAGTTAGTTTTTGTGAAGGGTGTCAGTCTTTGTCTTGATTCACTTTTTTGTATGAGAATACCCAGATGTTCAATACCATTTGTTGAAAAGATGGTTTTCTCCTTGTATTGCTTTTGCTTCTTTGTCAAAGATCAATTGACTATATTCATGTGGGCCTATTTCTGGGTTCTCTGTTATGTTCCAATGACCTATTTGTCTCTGGCCACTGCCACACTATCTCATTACTGTAGCTTTATAGTAAGTCTTGAAATTAGGTAATGTCAGTCCTCCAACTTTGTTCCTTCAATATCATGTTAGCTATTTGGAGTCCTTTGCCTCCCCAGAAACTTTATTTTTTTTTAAAGATATTTATTTATTTATTTGAGAGAGAGAAAGAGCATGAGCAGGGAGAACAGGCAAAGGGAAAAGGGAAAGCAGACTCCTTGCTGAGCAGGACCCTGGGATCATGACCTTAGCAGAAGGTAGACACTTAACTGACTGAGCCACCTAGGTGCCCTCCCCCAAAACTCTAGACTCAGTGTATTGATATCTCCAAAATAACTTGCCAGGATTTTGATTGGGATTGCATTGAATCTGTAGATCAAATTGAGAAGAACTGACATCTTGACAATATGGAGTCTTCCTGTTGATGAACATGGAATATCACTCCTTTTTTTTTTTTTTGTTTTTCTTTGTATATTTTTACTTTTGTTTAATATGTTTTTGTAATCTTTAGAAGGTACTTTTTCTGAGTCACTTCAGAAGTATTTTATAGAGTTTTCCTGTCCTCTTGGATTCACTTGCTATTATATTTGTTCCTTTTTATATTGGCTTTCTAAGAGCTTTTTCCTCCCCCTTTTAAATATCTATGATGCCCAGCCAAATGTGACTTCTGCTATTGTACAACAGAAGTGTTCCTAGAATTAAATTAAATCATCTTATCTACGTAGTCCGTATCCATACTACAATACAACTGCTTTCTCAGAAATTAGAGCAAAAATTTTTATTGACTATAAAAGTGAAATAGAAGAGCATTATAATAGATAACCTCTGCCCTCAAGGAGCTTGTAGTTCATTAAGAGACCACACTTAAATATATGAAAAGTAAGACATTTAGATAATAATTCTAGTATTAAGTCATAGAGCAGTACCTCATTAATATATATTAATTGAGTGGATAATACTGACTCTGGAATTTACTGATACTGAATGAAGTGATTTACTTAGGTTAGTCAGGAAAACTTTATTGGGCTCATGGAAATTGAACTTACTCCTGAAGTATGAATACATTTTGGATAAGAGAGATTAATCCAGATTTCTTACAGATGAGGTTCATAATACTTTGTCCTTTGATTTTTTTCTTAAAAAAAAAAACTTTAAACTATTTCCTTTTATATTTTCTATACAATATAGTTATAACAAACACTTGAAAATGTTTCACATAAAAAAAAAGTTTCACATAGCATTTACCTTCAGTTTTCTATTGCTGTGTTTTGTCACAGGCATCCTGATTTTCAGTTACTACAGGAAGGACAAAGGTATGGTTGAATCAGTATTACTTACCTTCTATATATTCATGTTAATAGAAACATTAAGAGTAAACCAGGTGATATGAGCTCTTGGACTTCCTGTGTTGATGCATTATGTAAGTGCCCATTTTAGCCCACACAAAGAAATATTTGCCTTGTACAGCTTTTTCTTTTGTGATAGTAAGATGATGTGTTTGATCTGTATGATTTATTGTACAGCTGTTCCTACCAAGGATTGGTAATTGAACCTGTTGAAATATGACACAAACACAGCTTCCATCTGAGACACTGTGCTTCTTTGTCAACTATATTGTGCCAATTATATTTGTCGAAAGGTTTTTATAGGTTTTAGAGGATCTCAAAACTTAATATATCATTTATTATTTGAAAGAGTGTCTAAAGCATTAATAGAAATTTCAAGTTGTGATATTTTCTTTTTTTTGTGTGTGTGATATTTTCTAAACTGTCCTTGTGGTGTTGTTTGCCCAACCATAACCATCTCTCAAAGCACATTCTTTTATTTTTTATCAGGACAAATTTTCCTGGTTCTTAGTTACTACCTAGCACATGGAATTAAGCACATGTGAAAGATATTTATTGATATGTCTTTTTAATTTATAGCTTTAAAGTAATATAGAAAAATATAATTACCTTAAAATTCCAAGATAAAGTTATGAAACATGAAGGTCAGATTGTTCTAATTTGTTGAAATTATACTGCTTCAAATATAGGAGACAGTCCCATGGCTATATAGGCTAGATCCTAACTAAAAAAATGAAATCTAACACTGAACAAACTTGTCATCTTTTCTTTATTCCCATCCACAACCTTACTTTCAACTGTTTTTCTTTTTCTTTTTTTATACTTTTACCTAGCATGCATTATTTTATTTCATTTTATTATTTAGTCATTTAAAAATAAATAGCCCTTTTAGTGAACAATTTTAGGTTTACAGAAAAATTCCCTGAAAAGTAGAAAGTTTCAGTATGCCCTCTCACCATCCTTTGCCCCAATTTGACCCAGAATCCTTGTCCTAATCTTTTAAAGTTTTGATATGTGCATTTGCTTGAAAGTACCTGCTCACCTACCATTGAATATCTCAAGTTTCTATAGACAGAGCTACTTTTTTCCTTCACTTTTTCACAATTCTTAATCTATTTTAAGCCTAATTGAAAATTGAAGGAACATAGTCAAAGGGATACTGTTTTTTTATTGTTAGCATTCTGTTTTAACTCTGGGTTTTCAAATATATCTTTCATAAATAAATGTTAAATTGTCAACTCTATTTTCTGCTGGGACTTTATTGTGTTTTTTATTCTAATCTATGGAATAGTCTGTATTGGAAAATTCTTTTTCCAATTTTTATCATGTTATCTTCTGAAACCTAAACAGAGTTTCTATGATATGTTTTGTTTATTTTTTGACAAAGCAAGAGTGAAGTTTTCAAAAGAAAACCTTTTTTTTGTTTAAGCAAAAAAGGATACATAAAATAGTCACAAATACAACAGGCAGAAATCAAAATTACTAGAATGAAATTACCAAGCCTTTTTTTCCTTTTTGCTATACTCTTAACACTTTTCTTTTATTATTAAAGATTTTATTTATTTTTTCGTGAGAGCCACAGAAAGAGAGAGACAGAGACAGAGACAGGCAGAGGGAGAAGCAGGCTCCATGCAGGGAGCCCAATGTGGGACTCGATCCCAGAACTCCAGGGTCACGCTCTGGGCCAAAGGCAGATGCTCAACCACTGAGCCGCCCACGCGTCCCACACTTTTTAAGTAATGGGGAAAAATACGAAGATGGTACAATTAGATCAAATAAGATGTAGAGAAATCATAGATTTATAGCAGTCTTTGGAAATGTGTGGATGTGTGTGTGTGTGTGTGTGTGTGTGTGTGTGTATACATGCCTGTAAGGCTTTGCCTAGGGAGTACAAATTTTTACCTTGAGAGTTACAATATATAAATGCCATGGGACATTTGCTTTTCCATTATAGTTATTTTGTTTCTTTTTTTCTACAGTGGCCATTCTGGAAAGGAAGTACAGCTATGCACTAAGGCCATTAAAACATCAGATATTGACAATCCTGGCCATTTTGAGAAGCATTATGAATCTGGTTCTTCCAGCTCTCATAGTGATAATAGCAGTGATAATGAACAAGACTTTGTTTCCTCCATTCTACCAGGAAACAGACCAACTGCAACGGGTATAAGTCCACAGCTGCACAAAAAAAGCATAATGAAAAAGAAAGCTGGTCAGAAAGCTAACTCCAAACATGAAGACAAAGAAGAGACGGTAATAGATGTCACTGAGCAGCTAGGCAAGTGCAGATTAGATAGTCATGGGAAGGCTGCTGCTTGTGAACTTCCTTTACAGAAAGTAAGTACTCAGATTTCTTCAAATAGTCCTTTGCAAGAAAAATTAGAAGCTACAGAAAATTCTGAAAATAAATACAGTAGTTCAAAAATAACTCTAGTAGGCATAAGTAAGAAAAGTGCTGAGCATTTTAAGAGAAAATTTGCCAAATCAAAGCAAGATTCTAGGCCAGGCTCTAGTTCAGTGCAGATGTGTCCTGAAGTTGCAAAGGCAAACTTACTTAAAGTCCTGAAGGAGACTTTGATTGAGTGGAAGACAGAAGAAACTTTGAGGTTTTTGTATGGCCAGAATTATGCTGCTTTGTGTCTGAAACTTTCTTCAGCCCCTCTGGTTAAAGAAGAAGAACTTGATGAAGATGACATACACTCTGACCTAGATAGGCATTTCTCTGCCTTTCAGGAATCTCAGAACAGCTTGGATGAGTCTTTACCTTTTAGGGCCTCAGATACAGCCATTAAACCACTACCAAGTTATGAGAACTTGAAAAAAGAAACTGAAACATTAAATCTGAGGATAAGGGAGTTTTATAGAGGACGATATGTTTTGAGTGAAGAAACCATCAAATCACAAGACTCAGAAGAGGTATGTCTTAAAGATAAGTTTTCTGTGCTGCTAGCATATGGGACACTCATCATAGCAAATCTTGAAAGGGGAATAATATTGAAGAGATAACTGTTAAATTTTCAGAAGATTGGTTTAGTTCAGTTTTTTGGTTTAAAATGCTATCTCCAGGCAGCCCTGGTGGCCCAGCAGTTTAATGCCACCTTCAGCCCAGAATGTGATCCTGGAGATCTGGGATCGAGTCCCACGTCAGGTTCCCTGCATGGAGCCTGCTTCTCTCTCTGCCTGTGTCTCTGCCTCTCTGTGTGTGTCTGTCATGAATAAATAAAAGAAATTAAATAAATAGATAAATAAATAAATAGATAAATGAATAAATAAATAATAAGCAAGCAAGCAAGCAAGCCATCTCCAATATTGGAAATACTATTTTCCAAATAAGTTGAAATTTGCCCCCAGAAAATTCCACAAATGTGTAGTATTTTTCTCTAATGTAGAAATAGCCTAGAATTGTGGGACAAAGTTTTCTTTAAAACCTAGTTCTTTATATAATATGTAGACTCTCTGAAGGGGTTGTTTTTTTTTCTTCCCTACCAACAAATATTCTTTGTATTCTTTCAAATTTCTGCAAGGGTATGTATCTTTGTATTTTCTAGTGAGACTATATGTAGTGGAGTAGACTTACTAGTTGAATGGTAAAGTATTTATCTGGATATTTGGCAAACATGCCCATTCAGAATAATACAAATGAAAATATAGTAAAGGAGACATATTGGGAAATAATGGACACAAAAGAGCACATCAGACCTAGATTGTAATATCTGTTCTCATTTACTAGCTGTATGAAAAGTTGGTCTCTTGAGTCTGAGTCTGTAAATGGGATTATAAAAATCACTTCAATTGTATTATTAGACGGTATTCATAAGTTGTATAGTAAGCTTGGAGAAAACTTGCTCTCTAGTCACTCAGCTGCATAAAACTACATTATCATTTGTTGTATCATTTTTGTGCTGTAAGCTTTAAACAGGAAAAATTATATAAGAAAGAAAATTGAGGGCAGCCCTGGTGGCACAGCGGTTTAGCGCCGCCTGCAGCCCGGGGTGTGATCCTGGAGACCGGGATCGAGTCCTGCATCGGGCTTCCTGCATGGAGCCTGCTTCTCCCTCTGCCTGTGTCTCTGCCTCTCTCTTCACTCTCTCTGAATGAATAGATAAATAAATCTTTAAAAAAAAAGAAAATTGACTATTCCTCTTTTGCATAACATTTTTAAATGTTTTCATTGAAGTATAATGCAGATAGTAAGTGTACAACTCACTGAATTATCAAAAAGGAACACAGCCTTGTAATCATTACCCAGGCCAAGAAATCTGAGTACAACGAAAGCCCCACTATGTCATTCCTAATTATTACCTCTTTCCAAAATGAATAACCATTATAACAACATGGATTAGTTTTGCCAATTTTGAACTATAGTAAATTTACATAATAGATATTCTTTGGCTTCCTGTTTATTTCACGTAACTTTATGTTCATGAGTCATTTGGGTTGTTCATGTGGCTGAAGTTCATTCTTTCATTGTTGCATAGTATTTCATAGAAATATGCCACAATTTATTCATATTAATGAGTATTTATTTAGGCTTTTCCAGTTTAGGGCTGTAGTGTTATGAACTTCCTTGTCTATGTCTCCCTTCTAAGGTATGTGCATTTCTCTTGAGTGTGTATCTAGGACTGGAATTTTGGAGTCATGATGTGTGTGTATATGCAACTTTACTGGATGATGCCAGTTTTCCAAAGTGGTTTTGCCATTTTATGTACCACTACCACTCTATGAGGTTTCCAGTACTCCACATCCTTTACTGATACTTGACCTTGTTAATTTTCACCATTTCAATGGTATTGCTTTTTGGTTATAATACATTTCTCAGATAATTAATGAGTTGAGCACTGTTTCATTTGCTTTTGGACCATTTGGCATGTCACTTTTATTAAGTGTCTTTTCAGGTCCTTCTCCCATTTATCTGTTGGAATATCTAGGTAATTTTTTTCTTACTGATTTTGTAGGAATTTTTTATTCAGTATTGAAACCCATTTTTAGTTGTGTGTTTTGCAGATCTTATCTTCTTTTTGAGATTTGCCTTTTCACTTGCATTAATGATACCTTGGGTCCAGTTTATTAGTTATTCCCTTTAGTGACTTCTTTAGAAATCTTTGTTTAGCCCAGTTTATTTCATCTTCTAGATTGTTTTTCCTTTCATATTTAGATCTGCAGTTCCCTGGAATTGATTTTATGATGAGGAGTATGGGTCAGATTTCATTGTTTTCCTTTGGGGAAATGTATATATTTCCCCAAAGGAAAGTTTGAGAAGCACTATTGATTGGGGGGAAGGAGTGTTGCTCACTCCATTAGTTACTGAAAGAGGTGGGACAGGTAGATCAAAAATCTGTCACTATAATTATAGATTAATTATTTCTACTTTCAGTTTAGTGAATTTTACCTTTAATATTTTGAGACCATGTTATATGGTATTAAAAAAAGATTATGTCTTCCTAGTAAACTAAACCTCAGTATTGGGATCCCTGGGTGGTGCAGCGGTTTGGCGCCTGCCTTTGGCCCAGGGCACGATCCTGGAGACCCGGGATCGAATCCCACATCGGGCTCCCGGTGCATGGAGCCTGCTTCTCCCTCTGCCTGTGTCTCTGCCTCTCTCTCTCTCTCTCTGTGACTATCATAAATAAATAAAAATTTAAAAAAATTAAAAAAAAATAATAAACCTCAGTATTATGGAGTGACCTTTCTTTATATTTATGATTTTTTTTCTTAGAATCTGCTTTGCTGGCATTAGCATTCTTTTATTAGTATTTTCAGGACTGTCTTTTTTTTTTTTACTTAAGCTGATAATTGTTTTTATGTGGAGAATGTAGTCTGTTTACATTCAGTGTCAATTTTTATGTATTTGGATTTAAATCTACCATCTCACTCATTGCTTTCTGCTTGTCCCATCTGTTCTGTGTTCCTCTTTCTTTTCCTTTCTTTGAATTAATATTATTTCATTGTTTACCCTCTGTTAGCTTTTTTTTATACTTCATTTTGCTAATCAGTAAGTATAATCTTTAAAGATTAAAACCTGAATTAACTGAATCATTATAAAAGTCCAAAATAAGTTAATTTTTTTGCTTCCTGGACAGTTAGTACCTTAGAACTTTAATTCCACTTACCCTCTCTGTGCTTATGTGCTCTTGTCTATTTTTATTCTCTCTATATTTTAAATCCTGTAAGATGATTTATAACCAATATTCACTTGGAGTTATCCACTTAATTACCCTTCCATTGTGGTTCATTCCTTCCTGCATCTCTATTCTTTCATCTGGGATCATTTGCCTTGGGCCTAAGAATATCCTTTATTTTGATTAGTGGAGTTTACTATGAATTTTTCAGTGTTCATCAGAAAATTCTTTATTTTACTTTCACTTTTGAAAGATTTTTCTGGGTATTTCTTTTTTTATTATTTTTTTTTTTATTGGAGTTCAATTTGCCAACACAAAGCATAACTGGGTATTTAATTCTAGGTTAGCAGTTTTTTTCAGGTCATTGAAAATATTTCTGTCTTTTGGCTTCCATTTATTTGTCTCATAGCTGAAAATACTGTTTTTCTTCCATTAGCTACTTTAAAGACCATTTTTGTCTTTGTTTACCATTAGTTTTAGAATGCTTAGGTGTGATTATAATTGTATTTATTATTTTGACTGTTATAATACTTGAATCTTGACTTGGTTTCTTTTCTCAGTTTTGGAATATTCTCAATTATTATTGTTATAAATACTGCTGTCTCATTCTTCCTTTCCTCTGTCTGGTATTCCAATTGCAGACATGTTAGTCTTTTTCTATCTTCTGTGTCTCATATTCCTTTGTCCTTTATATCATATGTGTATGTGGGTGTTGATTGTGACTGTGCTTTGTTCTGAGTATTTTCAAAATCAGTATTCTCTCTTCAGTCATTTATATTATTAAATATAGCCATTGAGTTCTTGCTTTTGAATACTATATTTGTCAGTTTGAGAATTTTCATTTGATTCTTTTGTATAGTTAACAGTTCTCTGCAGAAATTTTTGGTCTCTTCATTTTTCTTAGAATATATCAACATAGCTAATTTTTAAAAGATTTCATTTGAGAGAGACGGTTAGAAATATCATGAGTAGGGGGGAAGGGTGGAGGGAGAAGCAGGGAGCCAAATGCAAGACTCGATCCCAGGACCCTGGGGTCATGACCTGAGCTGAAGGAGACACTTAACCAACTGAGCCACCCAGGCACCCTCAGCATAGCTATTTTAACTAAAGTTGATAACATCATTATCTGGATTCCCCGGAGGCCTGTTTTCTGTGGGCTGATGTTTGAGATTTTGACCATATTGTCTTGTTTTCTTATTGTTTTATTATATGGCAAACATTGTATACTATAAATTACAGATAACTCGAGGCCCAAGCTGATGTTATCTTCCTCTACAACAGATTTATGTTTGTATTGGGCGGATGATTTGTAGCAGTCCCAAATCGCTTAATCAGATCAGGAATTAAGATGATTTGAAGCTGGACTTCAATCCCTATAAGAGCCAGTCTGTTTCCTATTTATTCCTAGTTCTATAGTGTGGTTCTTCTAAGTCAAGCTTGGAGGGGAGGGTTGCCAGTACTCCTTCCTTCTTGGTATTCCCCAATTGTTAATGCTTATTAGAAAAACAATGCTCAGGTTCTCAGTATCTGAATTGCTTCTTCTGGAATTAGTCACTGTCCTCTCTGGAATTACCTTCTTTAGAATCTTTGGACTTAATTCTTTACTGCCTTGTTAGTTCTCTGATGTTTTCAAACAAATGTGGGTATTTTCCCAGTGTTTTTTCAGTTCTCAGCAGGAGGGATGGTTTGAATTATCTTGTCTACCATTTCTAGAAGTGGAATTCCCCGTTCTCTCTCTCTCTCTCTCTCTATATATATATATATATATACACATACATATATATATGTATACATATATATGTATACATATATATACACACACATATAAACATATATGTAGTATTTGCTAACTTTAATCTCAAAAACATTTGTATAGCATTTAGTAGTTTACAAAGTTCTTTTGTATACATTTTCTCGTTTAATAAAGTATTATTATCCCTTTATATAGATGAGAAACATTCTCAAAAGCAGGCATATGACTCAAGTTCACATCAACCTAATGACTGAACCAATGCTCAAATTTAAATCTTCTAATAATTCTCAAGCCTAGTTTTTTAGTCTACCATAGCCCAGGTGTGAGCTTTTGTGTTTTAATGTTTATTGTCCTTATCAAAGAAGAATGTAAATTTATGATTTTGCTTTGTTTTGTTTAAAAATGTGATTCAGCATGATCCCACCTTTCCACTGATAGATTCAAGTTCTCAGAACCAGATTAGAAAACGCATCGTACTGGAAAAGTTGAGTAAAGTGTAAGTATATAATTGTCCACTTTAAAATATTTAAAGTTAACTTGGTATTTGTGGGTTCATAATTTATATTAATTTAAATTTTAATTTTTTAAAAAAGAGAGGCAGAGACATAAACAGAGGGAGAAACAGGCTCCCCATGCAGGACTCGATTCCGGGAGTCCAGGATCACGCCCTGAGCTGAAGACAGACACTCAACCACTGAGCCACCCAGGCGTTCCTTTATTAATTTTTATTCCTGAATCTTGAACAGTTTGAAAAATATGTGAAAAGTTTACATGGATGTCTTTACTGATAAATTGAGATTTTTAAGATATCCTGCCAAGGAAATACTGAAATTAAGTTTTGTATAGAAGACACAGAAGCACATAATAAAGAGGAAGGTTGAGATTATGGGAGTGGACAACCAAACTATGTCACTTCCACTTAATAATCCAGTGAAGTCAGGGAAAAAATATCAAAGCTAGACCATTTAAATACTGATTTGTGGTATATGTGTCATATTGGTTTCACATGTGAATGAAACTTTACGAAGTTGTAATGGTCTGTTAACTCACTCTGCATACATATTTATAGAACCATTTCACACTCAGCAACTTAAGAGTTTTTGTTCAAGTCAACTTTGCACTTTAGTTTTAAACTTCCCGTGGTGGAAATTATTTTTCTTGTAATTAGCCCAGTCATAAATGACATTTAAAAATTGTAATCTTGGTTTGTCTTTCAAAAGAAGTTTGAAAATTTTTTTCTAGAGGTGTGAGGGCTGTCTTGAACTTTTCACTCTCTGTTTTCTTTCTTTAGTAGAAAAAATGTAAAGGTGTTTCCAGTCATTGTTTAAGATCTGCATGTAGGTTAGGGACACCTGGCTGGCTCAGTGGGTGGAACATGGGACTCATGTTCTCACTAGGGTTGTGAGCTCAAGCCCCATGCTGAGTGTAGAGATTACTTTAAAATCTTAGAAAAGGGGCGGGGGGGGGCTGTGCATATGGAGAAGTCTTAATTTTGTCATAGTTTAATGATAAACCATATCTTCTGAAAGCCTTAATATTTTGAGCAGCCTAAATGTTTTACATTTTAAATAACTGTTTAATATTTATTGAGTGCCTATTATGTTAGGCTCCTCATAGATAATCTATTATTTTGCCTTTTATATAGTCCTCAGACTTTGTTTCCATTTGATATTATTAGGTTAGAAAACAGTGTAAGTCACCATATGTCTGATTCATAGGACAAGAAGATATCAATCCTAATTGTGGTTAAATAGGTTCTGAAAGTTAGGATGGATTATTGATACTTGTATATAATCAATAGATAGGGATTTATTGGAACATAGTTTTCTACACTTTTTAGCTAATGAAAGAGCCAGTTTTAAATTTAAGACCACATAGTTATGCCATTAAAGGAATTCTGTTCCTTCTGGGTTTTGTTTGCAACAGAAGATGCCAGAAGTTGCATGCCAGAAGACTGAATTTATTGATAATAGCTCAAGAACTAAATTTGAGAAGAGGTGGAATAACTTATAGAAACACAAAGAACACTAAATATAAAATAATTATTGACATAAAGGGTTTGGGTTTTTTTTTGTTATTTATGAAAACAATTTTTCTCATTATAAGACATTTTTTGGTTTCTGATTGGAACAAACCAGTTGTAAACAGACATTTTTTTTAGATAATTAAAATGAAATATGTGCTGAGTATTAGATGATATTAAGAAATTGTTAATTTGGTTGGCTATGATCATTTTATTGTGATTATGTAAGAAAATGCCCTTGCATTTAGAAATAGATAAATGTTTAGGAGCCAAATGATGTAATGTCAGGGATTTACTTTAAAATAGTACTGGCAAAAAAAGTAAAGAAGAAAGGAAAAGTAATAAGTGTAACAAAATATTGGGAAGTTGAATGTGGAAATATATGTTTGGGGATATTGCTATTTTCTCTGTTTGAAATATATCTGAAGCTTTATAATAAGTTTTAAAAAGTAATACATGATTATTGCAGAAGATTTAGGCAGTACAAAATGGTTTAAAGAAAGAAGTGAAGATCACTGGTAATCCCACTGAACAGTAACGACTATTAATATTTTGATGTTTATCCCTGATATGTGTATATGTGGTTTGTGTGTATATTCATTCCCTTTGGTTCTCTCTGTTATAATATAAACCTGGAAGGAATGAAACAAGTTTGAAATATAGTTTTTATCATATACAGTGTCATTATACATAAGTTTTTATAAAAATGAGACCACGCTACATATGCATTTTTCACTTAACACTTATACCATGAATATCTTTCCACATTAAAAATGTGTACATTCACATTATCATTTGAAAGGTTGTATTATATTCCACTGCACGTGCATATAATTTATTTAATGAATGACCTATTGGTGGACATTTGTTTGCATTTTTCACTACTAAAAATATTTTTGCAATAATCATCTTTTTTATGTTTATCTGATTGTTTCTTTAGGATAAATTTTTTTCATAGTAAAACTGTTGGGTCAAGGAATATCCACATTTAAAATGTTAACATATATTGTCAAATTACTCTCTAGAAATATATCAGTCTTCCACCATAAGGATTTCATAAGGAAAAATAGGTCACACTCCTAAATTGGACCATTTAGGGGGTCTAATTCCTCTTGCTTTGTGTTCTTTGCATTTAGTCTAATATTTTAAAGTAAAGGTAAGAAAAACTAGATATAAGAATATAGATAGCAGCCAAAATAATATTTTTCAGTGCCTGACACTGTAGCATAGACTACAAAGTGGAATGTGGGGTAATTATGAAATGTATTCTAGTGAGTTCTCATCAGTCAGAACCTAACTTAACTACCTCTACCTAAGTGCCATTAGTACCTATGGAAAATCCAGACTTAGGCAAAACTCAAAGAGTATGTCCATCTAATTAAATTATATTTTAAAAGAAATGTAACTTTTATTTTCAGAGTGCCTGGACTTTTGGGGCCTCTTCAAATCACATTAGGAGATATTTATACACAACTTAAAAATCTCATCCGAACTTTCAGGTTGGTGTTAATACTATAATTTTCTTCTTGGTTATTTTGACTTCCTGTGATTGCCTTGCAGAATCCATAGGTAGACTGTGTTACCTAATGATCTATCATAGCCAGTAACTCAGAAAATGAGTGGGTAAGCCCTGGCCTGTTGCCATAGCCAACTGCTCCGTCCTAGGAAGTCCTGAGGGGGCTGGACTAATCAAAAGCATAGCTCCTGGCTGGGTTTGCCCACACTGTTGTTGAACATACTTGAATAAGCTTGTTCCAAGAGACGCCAATAACTCGAGAGAAAAGGGTTTGGAAAAGAGAAAGGGAAAGATTTATTTTGGGTGCCAGCAGCCAGGGAATATGGCAGGCTTTAGCCTTAACAACTAGTCTCTCCACCAGCAATATGGACCCCTAGAGTTTTATAAGGTCAGGTTGGGCTTTGGGGGAGGAGACAGGGGGGTGGCTGGGTGGTCCATGCAAGAAAGCAGGCAGGTAGCACATAATCATGGTGGGTCAGGGAAATTATGTGGCCAGCCCACATTTGTGGGCAGGAAAGGACATCTGTGAGGTGTAGCCTTCTAGGCATTCCTTTGCTATCAGGGCTTTTCTGGTCAGGCAGTGTGAATGTTCTGGATGGATCATTGTAAAACACCTTCATCAGTGCCTCAAGAAAGTAAGAAATAAACACAATGGGGCAGCTTGGGTGGCTCAGCGGTTTAGCGCCACCTTCGGCCCAGGTTGTGATGCTGGAGACCTGGGATCCAGTCCCATGTCAGCTCCCTGCATGGAGCCTGCTTCTCCCTCTCCCTCTGCCTGTGTGTGTCACTGCCTCTCTCTCTCATGAATAAATAAATAAAATCTGGGGATCCCTGGGTGGCTCAGCGGTTTGTCGCCTGCCTTTGGCAGGGCGCAATTCTGGAGTCCTGGGATCAAGTCCCATGTCGGGCTCCTGGCATGGAGCCCGCTTCTCCCTCTGCCTGTGTCTCTGCCTCTCTCTCTCTCTCTATGTCTATCATGAATAAATAAATAAAATCTTTTATAAATAAATAAATAAATAAATAAATAAATAAATAAATAAATAAATATCTTTAAAAAAAGAAACACAATGGGTTTTATTTTTTTTCCACAATGAGTTTTATTTTAATTAAAACCCATTGTGGAAAAAAAATAAAACCCATTGTGTTTCTTTTTTTAAAGATTTTATTTATTTATTCACGAGAGACACAGAGACAGGCAGAATTCAGAGAAGCAGGGAGCCTGACGTGGGACTCGATCCGCGTCTCCAGGATCAGGCTGGGCTGAAGGCGGCGCTAAACCGCTGAGCCACCCAGGCTGCCCCAAAATATGAGTTATGTTAAGCAGTCTTATCTAGTTCTGGTTTTAACTGTTGGGGTCTGTAGTTGAGCAAGAAGTTTTTCCAACAGAGGAATGAAAAAAGTGACTTAACCTTCATCGTCTTAGATCTAAGAATAGTGTTGTTTTCTCCTCCAGTAAACATTATCTTTTACTAAATGCAACATTTTATTTGCTCAAGCCTTAATATAGTTATTTTTTGATAGTTTATTTATAGAATAGCCTAAAGTGATGTCTCAGACACAAAGGTGGTTAGCCAATAACATATTGAATCTTAGTAAATTAGTAGATATAGATCAATGACCAGCACTGTGCTGCTGGCAAAAGAAGCATTATGCCCACCCTCAAAGAGGAAACCTGTTAGAAGTTGAGCACAGTGAACAGTACAAAACAGCGGGTAATTTAATACCGAGTTTTTTTAAAGCGTAGGTATAAAGAAAGGAAGAAAAGTGAATATCAGTTGTAAAACAGAGCAGTTAGGATTGTTCTAAAACTGTCAAGGTAAAAATATTCACGCCAGCTAAAACTGTGTTCTGTACCAAGAAGCATAAGAATAGGCCTTTAAATACTCTATAGGAAGAGGTGCACCAAATACACATTTTGGCCCAATACCAGTGACCAAATACTAAAATCAGTACTTGCCTATGGCTAAAACTAAATAGAACCAACATCAAACAAACTTCTGGAGTGAAAGACTCATTTCATCCAATAAATATGGATGGTTTATTGTTGACAGTAGTAATAATATTTTAAAAGTTTAAAATTATAATACAGAAATAATTACTTGACATTGTTTTACCTGTTAGATTTGAAGTCACTGTACTATATATCAGTAATATCAAATAACCATTCACTTTCAACTAACACATTTAAAAAATCACTGATCTTTTTGTGTGCCACAAAGTGATTCAGGAAACCGTTTTTTAATAAAATATGTACTAGAAGGATCTAGGATTGATAGTTTAGACAAATCTCAAATTCACCTTCATCTTCTGAAAAGGATCATTTGTACCACTTTATGTTTAAATATTTAGCCTTTGTAGACTCAAGAATACAGGAGTTGTTTTAAGACATTCTTGTAGGGTCTTTGGTTGTGAAGTTGGACTAAACAGAATGTGTTTGGGGTGTCTCAATTTATTTTTAACATTTTTATCATTTTGATTAAATTGTATTGAGATTATTGCATACCTATTTACATAATGTAGATATTTTTTCAACTCAGGATATTTTGAAGTGACATTGTGTCATCATCACAAGATTCTAAGAATTCCCCAGTAGGCCATTTTCTTGAAAGATTTATAACAAATGACAATAAATAAGTAAAATTTAAATGGAGCTCTTAAAGCTGTTAAAGAACAAAAATTCAGTCAAGTCAGTTTTTAAAGATCTAATTGGCTTTATTCAGTAATTAATGAATTAGGCAACATTTTCATCTAACATCTAGGAGAATGCTTGGAAGGGTTGTACAAAATAGAAGGTATTTATTTGTAGGCAGAAATGGGACTGGACAAGGAAGTTATGAGAAAAAAAAGAAAAAAATGTTTCAAGCAAGGTTACCTTCCCTTAGAGGAAAAGGCAGGGGGTCTTACCTTGCAGATTACCTCCTTAATGGTGATCAGGAAATTCCAGACTGATGGATTTAAAACTTCACTCCTGGGAGAGGCTGAAACGACAGTTTAAATTAGGTGTTAAATCTTGGTGGGTCTTAGCATAAGGAACTCCCATTTTGGTTTGTTTTTTGTTTTGTTTTGTTTTTTTAAAGATTTTATTTACTTAGAGAGAGAGAGAGAGAGGCAGAGACACAGGCAGAGGGAGAAGCAGGCTCCAAGCAGGAAGCCAGACGTGGGACTTGATCCCCCTGGTCTCCAGGATCACACTCTGGGCGGAAGGCAACAGTGGCAAACCGCTGAGCCACCTGGGCTGCCCGGAACTTCTATTTTGGGGCTGACTGACCCCTTTTAACAGTGGTTATTTTCTTTAATGTTATAAATGCTAGTACATAATATAGTTCTGCAAAGATCAAATTACAGTAGAATCTAATCTCTATTATCTGTCTTAACATTATTTGAATATAAACATTTTTCCAAGATAAACAGCATTCTCAAGAAAGTAATCTATTTAATGTATTTACTGTTTATATTAACTGTTGATCTGTTTTGCTAAATAATTAAAAAATTTTACTAATTGTTTTATACATTAAATTAAAGGTTTTCACAGGCGTGATTGATTCCTGCAGCATTTTGTTTTTCTGACTGACAAAAGCACAGAAGGACATTTTTACTTCATCTAGAATGTTTAGATTTGAAAGTGAATATTCAGGTAATAACAGTAAATCTGAATGACAGGATTGTTCTAATTACTGAGATTGTTACCTGTATTGGATATCATGGAAACTAGGCAACCACAGATCATTGATCACATACAAATATAAGCAACCTGATGTTAATTATTTTTTAAGTCTTTAGTATCTGCAGGTTAGAGTCTGTAGCTTTAATAAAAATTGCTCAAATTGGCTTTGCTGCTTTTTAGGAAAATGTCAATTATTTAGAGTACAGAATTACCTCTGGTAGGATAACTCCTGTCTTCAAAATCTGACAGGACAACTTCAAAAGGTATATGACTATTTGGTGGCTAGAGCCACAAACAGAAATAGACTTTCTACATGAAAGTCTCTTAAAAAAAAAAAAAAGCCTTATTGATGACCGTGACTAGAGTTGAGAGATCTTTTCAATCAATACTAGCAATGGAAAAGAATTGACATAAATAACCATATCCTTCCCTTTGAAATGATAATCAATATTAGGAACTTGTAAAACAGTGATTCTTCAACCAGTTGTGCATCAGAATTACCTGGGGAGCTTTTAACAACTACAGATGCCTGGCTCCACCCCTAGTTTGGTTAGGTTGGGCCCAGACCTCAGTATTCTTTAAAAGCCCCCAAGGTGATTCTAATGTGCAGCCAGAGTTCAGAGCCTATTAGAACATACACATAAAGCAGCTTTTTCAGCTCTTTGAAGAATCTTTCCCCTGTGAATAGAGCTGTCCTTTCCACTGAATTGAATCACAGTCATTTATCCAGAATGTTACTTTGATTTACCTGCCATAGGAGTTCCATCAGAAGTTGCTTGGTAAAGATTCACTGTCATCAGTTTGGGTCAAGGTATTTTTTTAAAAAAATATTTTTTTTAAATTTATTTATTCATGAAAGACAGAGAGAGAGGGGGAGAGAGGCAAAGACACGGGCAAAGGGAGAAGCAGGCTCCATGCAGGGAGCCTAATGTGGGACTCGATCCTGGGACTCCAGGATCATGCCCTGGGCTGAAGGCAGATGCCAAACCACTGAGCCACCCAGAGATCCCTCAAGATATTTTTCTAATTCTGATTTGAATTAAAATTATATTTTGACACAAGAAGATCTTCTGTTTATCCCAGTGCCTAGAAGAGTAGTATAGAGCAGGCACTCAGTACATATTTTGCTGGATGAGTAAATGAATTTAAATTTGTCTTAACTTTGGGAAATTTGAGTATAGTAGAAAAATAATTTCTTAAAAAAAAAGAAAAGGAAAAGGAATTTTTTTAACTTTTTCCACATTTTGTTTTACATGCTTACCCTTTGACCTTTTCTGATTGTGTGCTAGACTCTGTTTTAGTTGCTACAAAGCAGTGAA